GCACAGCTCCTGGGCAAGGAGCGGGCCCATGCCTGGACAAGGCAAACCCACCGGGTCGCTGGCTCTCCTCGACGCCACGGTTCGCGCGCGCTGTCCAGGCAAGGCAAGCGCAGGGTGCTCCAGGTGAACTCCACGCGGCGCTTCAAATTCCTGTCGGTGGCTGGCCAAGCGAACCAGCCGGCATAATATTCCCAAGTGGAAGCGGTGCAACAGCCGTGCGGCAGGCTACTCTGCGCAGCTCCTGGACAAGGAGGGGGTCCGTGCCTGGGCGGGGCAAACCCGCGGGGTCGCCCGCGTTCTTCGTCGCCACTGTTCGCGCACGCTGTCCAGGCAAGGCATTTGCAGGGCGCTCCAGGTGAGCCCCAGGCAGCGCCTCAGGTTCCCAAGTGGGAGCGGACAGCCGTGCGGCAGGCTGCCCTGCACAGCTTCTGGACGAGGAGCGGGCCCCTGCCTGGACGAGGAAGATCCACCAGGTCGCTGGCGTTCCTCGTCGCCACGGTTCGCGCTCTGTCCAGGCAAAGCAAGGCAAACCCACGCGCGGCGCGGCAAGCCCACGGTTTGCAGCTCCCAAGAGAGGAGCAGGTCCTGGCCCAAGGCGCGCCCGCGAGGCCACAGCTGTTAAGGCGCGGGGGCAGCATCGCAAGCCCTTGACCCCGCAAGGCGGGCGCTGCGCAAGCGGCGCGACCGCCGAAGGCCGCAGGCGCCCGCTCGGCTGAAGTCGGCGGCGCCCTTGGCCGCGTTGCCGCGCCCCTGATCGCGCCCCGGCCGGCCAGCGCTTCATCGTCGCAGGCTCGCGCCCCTCGTTGCCAGCTCTGCTCGGGCTCCTCGTCGCCGTTCCGTCGGCGATCCCTTGCCGCAGCAGCAGCTCGCGCGTCTCGTCGCCAGGGGCTTGGCCACTGTGCGAGGCACGGCCCTGCGCCCACGGCCGGGGCATGTGCTGGCCAGTGCCAGTCTGAAGCGCGTCCCCCTGGCTCGCCAACCGGGGCGCACTTTCGCTCCCGAACGGGCGGCGCTGGCAGGCCCGGGCGGCCCATCCGGGGCGGCGGGGGCACACGCGCCAAAGGGCCGCTCGCAAGCCCAGGTCGGCGTTCTGGGTGCAAGCCAGCGCCCGCGCGCGCAGCAGTGCAACTGCAAACTGCTCTCGGAGCGCGATGGTCCGCAGTCCCGCGACTCTGGCGCGATCGCGTCTGGAGTTGCGATTGTACTGCGAATATGCGCGCGTTCCAGACGCGCACACGTGCGCGTCGGAGCGTGATTCTGGCGAGGCCGCGCGCTGTATTGCAATCGGGGCGCCGTGCGCAATTCGGCGCAGCCGCGCTCCGTGCTGCAATGGGCGCGCCAGTGCGCGCAGCATGGCGCAGGTGCGCCAGAGACACAAGAGCAGCACGACAGTGGCTCGACCGCGCTCGAAATTGCAGTTGGAGCGCGATTCCAGCGCAGGCGCGCGAAGCAGAGCAATGGAAGCTTGGTTCTGGCGCAAGCGCGCTCAGAATTGCAATCGGAGCGCGGATGCGAGCATTCCAGCTGGTCGCGAAGAAGCGCGAATAGCTGAACGCAAGCGCGGGCACTGCGGCGCAGGCAAGAAGCACAATCCGGCGGAATCGCGCTCAGAACTGAAATCGGAGTGCAAACGCGTGAGTATCACAGGCGCGCGCAGAAGTGTGCTGGCGCAGCCGCGCCTGAAATTGCAATCGGAGCGCGAATGTGCGCATTCCGGCGCCGACGCGCGCATTCCAGCGCAGACGCGCTCAGGTGCGCATCTCGGCATGATTCTGGCGAGGCCGCCCTCAGAGTTGCAATCGCGGCATGGTAACGCGCCATTCGGCACAGGCGCACGCCGAATTGCAATCGGGGCGCGAATCTGGCGCAACCGCGCGATCCGAGCGCCAATGCGCTCTTTCTAACACATTCGCAGGCGAAAACACCAGTGGATCATGACGGTGGCTCTGCAATCGGAGCGCAAATGCGCGCATTCTCGCGCAGGCGCGCGAAGAAGGGCAACCAAAGCTTGGTTCTGGCGCAATCACGACCAGAATTACAATCGAAGCGCGGATATCCAGCGCTTGCGCGCGCAGAAGCGCGAATTGCAGTTGAGCGCAGGTGCGTGCATTGTGGCGCAGGCGCGCGCGCGCAGAAGAATCCCAGTCGCAGCGCCATTCATTGTGCGCAACCGCGCTCAGGATTGCAATCGGAGCGCCAACGCGCGCGTACCAGTGCCAGCGTGCGCAGGAGCGCAATTTTGGCGCAGCCGCGCCCAGATTCTGGCGCACGCGCGTGCAGAAGCATCCCCAGCGGCGCGAGCGTGCGCGTGCCGGCGCAGGTGCGTGCAGAGACGGGCCAGAGCACAGCCACGCTCAGACGTGCATTCGGCGCGCGAATACAGTTGGGGCGTTGACCTAAGGAACCCTAAATAAGGAACGGGGCCCCTTTTCCCCATAAGTTAAACTCCGGTTTCCATGGAAAATTTTAGGAAAACCCTGTAAAGCAAATAAGGAACACGGAGCCCCTCCCAATCGAAAACGGTTCCTTCTTCAGCGCCCCGACTGTACTCACCATCCCGGCACGCGCGGCCAGAAGCGGGCAGGAGTGCAATCCACGCGTGTTGCTGACGCAACGGCGTTGGCGCCCTTCCCCGCACAAAGCGCAGTCTGACCCCGGTGTTGGCGCGACCGAGCCCAGAATTGCACTCAGAGCGCAACAGGACAATCTGGGCGAGCTCCTGGCGCAACCGCGCCTAGAATTTCACTCTGACCGTGAATGCAGGTTTTCGATTGCGCTTCTACTGCGTGCATGCGCGCACCAGTTGTGATCCGAGGTGCGAGAACCGCGCTCCCATTGCGCTTCCGCGCGCGCGGATTGCAATCGTGAGCGCGACTGCACCTGCGCGGCCGCAGAGACTTTCTGACGCTCAC